TCATATGAAAATTCCCAAACAAGCATTCTGTTGTTGTTAGTTGTTAATAAATCAGCTCCAACTTACTGCTTGTAGAGAATAGAATGCAATATTGTTTGGTCTATACTATAATCATTATTACTGAGTCCATTTTTCTGATTATTGTGTCAATAATGTATTTAAATTTTCTTTCATTTCATCAAACCTCCACTTCACTAAAATGATGGCCTTTCATAAATATTGGTTTTTCTTGCCAATGTGCCCATAGTGAGTCAAAATCTCACTATCCTTTCTTCTAAGGAATATTCTAGTTGTGTTTATTTTAAGGCTAATATATTTGTTTGCTTGGTGGTCTATTCAACATTCTCTGCCAACACTACAATACAAATGCACCAATTCTTCTGTTTCCCATGCCCCCTCCCCATTATCTAGCCTTTTCCATGCATATGAGGCAATAAGAAACACCATACCTTAAGTCAGGACTTAACCATTGAAGTGACATTATCACTTTCTGACGCTTTAATGATGACTTTCTAATCACATATTCCCATTGCAATATATTATTTGATTTCTTGGCTTTGATTGTCCATCCAAGTAGAATGAAATCATTGATGATTTTAGTTTTCTAGTGGACAGAAAGTTATGCTTCCAAGCCCAAGATGGGTGGTTTTAATCTGCAGTCCTCAGGCCTGGTTTAAATTGTTTTTTGTCAAACATTCTTCTAAATGGTATAGCACTGGTCTGTGCATTGCTGTACAGAGGTAACTCGTGGTTGCTTTGATGCTAAACACTGTAACACTGATGTGCCAAATGCAATAATGGTTATCCATGGTGGACAGTGTTCGATGGAACTCCCCATTAAAACAAGCTTGGAAGCAGGAGTGGAATCCACTTCCAAAATAGCTTGTCCTGGAAACTCTAGGAATATGGAAGAATGACCAAAGTTATACAAGTGTTCAGGTCTTTCATTTATAAGGTTGCTATGAGTCTACGACTTAACGGCACTTAACAACAACAACAACAACATCATCATGATATTTTCTGTAAGGGTTAGTAAACATTTAAATCTGGCTTGGTGACTGCTTGGCTCTGATCAACTGACTAAACACCCAATTGAACAAGAAAAAGAAAACAAAGCTTTGTATAAGCGGAATGAACTGAAAACTTTTACTTGTCAGCCAACATGCTGTTAGGTACCATTACATCAACTACGATTCATAGCAATATTATGAAAACTATATCTGAAGTTGCCCTATCTTGCCCCATCCACATCATCTCTGATATGCTCAAACCCATTGTTACTGTATGAATGTATTCTTTTTTAATTTTATATTGATTTTCTTATAAAGTTTGCATACACAGTGCTTCACACTTTTCTTCATTCACATTGTCTTTCATACAGTCATTCCCATACATTGTTACTGTTGTTGTTATGTGCTATGAGTTGCCTGCGACTCACAATGACCTTATATATAACAGGTCTGAAGGCTGCCCTGTCCTCAGCCAGTTTCACGGACTCTGACACATCTACTCCCATTAACCCAATGACTGTGTCAATCCATCTCATCCAAGGTTTTCCTCTCTTGTGCCCTCCCTCTACCCTTCAAAGCATGATGTCTTTCTCCAAGGACTTGTCTCTCCTGGTCACATGCCCAATGTATGTGAGATGGAGCTTCAAAATCCTAGCCTCCAAGGAGAAACTTGGTTTCACCCTTTCCAGGAAAGATATATTTGTTTTCTTGGTGGTCTATTGCATGTTCAAGACTCTTCTCAAGCACCACAACTCAAATACACCGACTCTTCTTCTGTCATCCTTAGTCATTATCCAGCTTTCTGATACATACTAAGACTATAATAAGACTATAGTCTGCATCAGGTGCACCTTAATCTCTAGACTGATATTGTTGCTTCTCAATATTCTGTAGAGGTCCCTAACAGAAGATTTTCCTAGTAAAATTCATCTTGTGATTTTTTTACTGCTGATACCAAGAGTATTGATTGTGAAGCCAAGCAAGCTGTAATTATTAATAACTTCAGTCTCTTTTCCATCTATCATGGTGCTGCCAATTGGTCCAGTGGTGAGAATCTTGGTTTTCTTGATGTTGATCTTCAATCCATATTGAAAACTACAGTCCTTGACTTTCTACAACAAATGCTTCAGGTCCTCCTCAGTATCAGCAAGCAAAGTTATGCCATCTTCATAACGTAGGTTGTTGATGAGTTTTCCTCCAATGCTGATACCTCTTCCCAGCCTCCCGAACGATCTGTTTTTTAGATAGCTTGAAAAAGTAGAGAGTTAGTACACATTCCTGATGCACGTCTTTCCTGATTTTTGAACCTAGCTGTGTTTCCTTGCTCTGTTCTGAGGACTGCTTCCTGATCTAAGTTTCAAGCATAATGAAGTGTTCTGGGATTCCCATTCTTCTCAAGGTTGTGATCCACATAGTCAAATGCTTTTGCATAGTTAATGAAACACAGATAGACATTTCTTATTTACTCTTTACTTTCTGCCAAGATTCATCTGGCATTGGCGATAATGTATCTAGTGCTACAACCTCTTCTAAACCCAGTTTGTATTTCTGGTAGTGTTCTGGTAAAGTACTGCCCAATTGGTTTTGGATAATCTTCAGCTGAATTTTGCTTGTATGTGATATTGTTTGATAATTTACACACTCTATTGGGTCACACCATTTTTTAGAATGGAAATAAATATGGATCTCTTCTAATGAACTGTCACCCAGATTTCTTGGCACAACCTGGTGAGCACGTTCAAGGCAGCACTTGTTTGTTAAAATATATCAGTTGGTATTCCATAAATTCCTGGGGCCTTATTTTTTGCCAGTTCCTGTTGAGCAGCCTGAACTTCCTCCTCCATCACCATTGCTTCTCCATCATATGTTGTTTCTTAAAATACTTCTGTGTCAGCCACTTCTTTTTGGTACAGTGACCCTTTATAGTGCTTCAATCTTCTTTTAATTCTTCCTGGATCATCCAATATTCTTCCCAGAGCAACCTTAAGTATTGGAACTTGAAGCTTGAATTTGTTCTTTAGTTCTTCACCTTAAGAAATGCTGAGTGAATTTGGCCCTCTTGATTTTCCACCTTCAACTTCTTGCACATTTCATTATAATACTTTATTTGTCTGCCTGAGCTGCCCTTTGATATGTTCTATTCAGTATCTTAAATTCTTGATTTCTTCCCTTTGCCTTTTGTTTTATAAAATTAATCACCATTGGACCTTGCCCATCATTACCCTGTCTTTTCAGGTCCCTGCTGGATCCTTCCTATTTCCTTCACTCATTCCCTCCACCCACCAAATTGCACAACCCTGAGATTTTTGCCTCTATCCACTTTCACTCTTCTGCCACCATCCCTTTCCCTCCAGAGTCCCCATACATATTTTACTAGTTATCCTTCAGTGTTTACAGTAATCATCTAATGCAGTATTTGTCCTTTTGGGATTGAGTTAGTTCACTCAGCATAAGTCTCTCTCAAGTTATGTAGTCTTTTTCAATATATCTTGCTGTTGGTCTTTCTCTCTTTCACTGACCCTCCACCTTTTCTTCTCCAAGGATCGGTCCCTCTTAACAAAATGTTGTTGTTGTGTACTTTTCTATTAGAACCAACCCATAGCTGACATTTAAGTGGGTTTTTAGAGTCAGTAAATCATACAGGAGTAGACTTCCCATCCTCTATTGTTGCAGCTTATAGAGTCAAACTTCATCTTTTGTATTGCAGTGCAGACTGTCTGTCAGGCTAGTCTAACATCTTTCTGATATTCTCTGCTTTCATTAAAGATCTATTAGACATCAGCAATGATAACCTTAAATACTATTACTTTTTCAGGATCAAACATAAATTTCTGGCAGTTCCCTGTTAAGGTACTGCTCCAGCTATTTTTAATAATCTTTAGTAATACTTTACTTGCATATGATATTAATAATTTTTCATTAATTTCTGCATTCTGTTGGATATTGGATCACCTTTTTAAAAAAAAATGTGATCATATATGAATCTCTTCTATTCAATTAGGGCTAGCTGTCCTCCAAATTTTTGTCAAAGACTTCAAGCACATTCAAGGTTGCAGCTCTTTGTTGAAATATATCAGCTCCTAGTGTTTTAATTTTGGCAATACCTTCAATGCAGCTTGAACATCGTCCTTCATCACTATTGGTTCTTGGTCATGTGCTGTTACTTGAGACGGCTCAGTGTTGACCAAGTCTTTATTATACAATTACCCTGGAATAGCTCCCATCTTCTTTTGATGCTTCTCACATTATTCCCTATGCTTTTAGCATGTAATATTTCCCTACCTTCTGTTAAGTTTTATTAATGGCCTATTAAGTAAAAGCTATTATTCTAGCATATAGTCTTTTATAACAGTGTACAGATAAGTTGATTTATCTAAATGACAACATTCTACTTTCTACACTATTGTGTTCTATTTAGTCTGATTTTGTTTAATTCAAGTCATGAGCTCTTTTGTATGACTTGTTAAAATCTGCATTGATTTTAAAAATACCATCATACTAAAATTACTGTAAAAGATAACCCAAAAAACTAAGTACACTACTGTTGAGTTCATTCTAACTCATGACAACCCTCCGTTGGGTTTTCATCATTGCAAATCTTTATTGAAATAGACTGCTCATCTTTCTCCCAAGAAGCAGCTAATTGTTTCAAACTACTAATGTTTCAATTATCAGTGCAACATGTAATGAACTGTGTTACCAGATTGCCTTTTAAAAAAGAAAGTGAAGATAAGTAAATAAAGTGTATTTTTTTAAATCACTCTACTTGAACTCATCCTAACTTATAAAGTGGAGGGGGAAGTCTAATCTCCTAGCAATACTTGTCTTATTATTTTCTCTACTTCGTGAGAATTTAAAACGTTTTGTTCTTTACTATTCAAGACAATTCTCCATTTTTTACAGAATCCTCAGGTTGTCTGATTCAGAACTTCAACCCCAAGTGAAAAAGAGTCAGAATTAACTCTTATCTTTCCATTTTTTGATGCAAAGGTATCAAAATATCCAGAGAACCATTGCAACAGAGAGGCCTGAGGAAGATTCTGGAAGCCAAACTTGTGAGCCAGTCCCAGCAGGAGGCGGGGCTGGCAGAGGAAGAGGTGGTGGAAGTGACTCAGAGGCTGAATCTTCTCAGTCAAGCATAGGTACTGTGGGAGGGGTCCCTAAAAACCCTGGATGGTACCTAGTGACTGTGTGACAGAACTTGCACACCTTCACCTTACCTCATGAGATAGGCATGTGCTCGGGTAAAGAGAGCAGTGGAATGAACAGAGAGGATCAAGATGAGGAAAAAGAGGCATGATCCCACCAGAGGTAAGCAAACTAAACTGAGCAGCATTCCCCATTAGGGCATTTTAAAGGATTTAGAGAAAAGAGGACACTACTAGCCTGGTTTAAGCGATCTGAAGACAAAGACATCAATGAGTTTGCTACTGAAAGCAAGGGGTTCTTTCCGTAGTCAAGTGCCAATAAGATGTATTGTAATATTTATAAGCACTTTATTACAGATTTATTACAGGGAGGACAGCGATATTCCCCTTAAAAATTGTCTCCCAGTCTGGGAGTGGTCATTAGATTTTTATATGAAAGTTAGATACTAATTTACTTAACAATACACTTGTTAGTAAAGTTACAGAATTTCTACATTTGAAAAGATCAGTTCATATATAAGTACTAGTAAACAGGCAACTTATAAAATAGTTAATATATGACTGAGAAAAATGTGCTTTGAAAAGATAAATGCTATTTCAGGAAAGGCACATTTCCCTTCCTGGTAAACAGGTAGATTAAGATACAATTTACATATGCCTGAAAAAAACAGTTTCAAAGATGTAAATGCTAATCTAGGAAAGATACATTTCCTCTCCTGATAAACAGTTTAAACTATTTTACATGACTAAAGAAAAGGGGAGGGGGACTCTAAGGCAAAGTACCTAGTTTTGCAGGCTGGAGAAAACTGATGTCAATTTTATTATTATATAACTATTGTTCAATGACTGATACATATTTGGAGAATTCTGAATTATTAATATCACCCATCAAGTTCAGAGGTTTTGACCTCTAAAGCAATCTTTTCAGTAGTTTAATATGTCTTGCTAAGAATATTTATTTGTTGATGTCTTAAAGATTTCCTACTTCTAAATAAAATATGCCGTACATAATTCACTGTCTGTATCAAAGGAACCACATGAAAGCACTAGGAATAATTGCTTGTTTTTAGAAGAAAAGATTCTCCTGAGAGAACAATTTGGGAATGAAAGGGCTTAGGGCTTAGGACTACCCACCCCTTCTACGAAAAGTTTCTGACATACTGTAGAGGCCGGATTTTTTTACCTCCTCTGCTCTTGCCTGAGTAAACTTAAATGAGGATATTCCAATGGCATCAGATAATTGCTCTGCTTTTTATTCCTGTAATGATATAAAATGATCACAGTGGTATCCTCATTATCAATTTTCTTTTTAAATTTATTTAAATGGCAGCAGACTAATTTTTGTAAAGAGAAGACCTAGAAATATAATCTGAGAAAATACATTCTCTGTGATTCTCATCCAGCCAGGTCTCCACTGATTTTTTTTTCTGTTCTGACTCATAGCTGACCCTCCAGTGGGTTTTCAGAGGTTTTCAACTCACATGAGGAAAAGTTGCTTATCTTTCTTCTAGAGCAGCTGGTAGATTCGAACTGCACACCTTTGGGTTGGCCTCAGAACTCCTTACTATCAAGTCATCAGAGTTCCTGAAGGTCACAATTACATATGGTAGAACAGAATATTGGATGTGCTCATGCCATTTTGTAACTGTTTTAACATACACAGCTCTACCAACATTTTTTTTAACCTCTACTCTATTTTACCAGAACCAGCTAACTAAATGTCTGGTTTAGATTTTGCTGTCATTAATTTCTTTGTTTTATTTTTGAAGTACAGTTAAATAGTCAATTATTGAGAAACATGGAACATAATACATATATCTGGACTTAGTGTTAGAAGAATTGGTTTTTACTATTTAATCAGCCCTCTGAAACTTAGTTAGTTAAAATCATCATTTTTCACACTACCAGAGAATCCATGGATTATACAAATGGTTAAGCCTAAAGGTAGTAACCAAACGTTAGTGGTATCCAGAGGTATCTCAGAATGAAGGCCTAGAGATTGTGTCCTAATAACCATGTTGTTGATGTTAGATTCCCTGAAGTAGACCATAACTCATAATGACCATATGAACAGCATATTGGAACTTTGCATCATCCTCACAGTCTCTGCCATGCACAAGCCCATTGTTTTAATCATTGTGTTAGTTCCACCTTCTTAAAGATCGTATTCTCTTCTGCTCAGTCTCTGCCTTTCCCAGCATATCTTTTCCCAAGGATTGACCCCTCTTGACAACATGCCCTAAGTATGTGAGACCAAGTTTTACTATCCTTACCTCTGAGAAGAATCTTGGTTTCATGAGACAGATTTATTTGTTCTTTTGGCAGTCCTTGGTTTACTTCTTGCCAACAGCACAATTCAAAGACTTAAATTCTTCTTATTGAATAATATAATGAAAATCATATGCAAGCAAAATCTTACTGAAGTTAATTAAAAACCAGGTAGAATAATATATTGACAGAGAACTGCCAGAAATTCAGACTGGAAATAGAAGAGGCCTTGGTACCAGGTATATCATTGCTGATGTCAGATGGATCATGGCTGAAATCAGAGAATACCAGAAGGATATCTGTCCATGTTTAATGGACTATGCAATGGAATTTGATTGTGTCAATCATAATAAATTATTGCAAACATTGAGAAGAATGGGAATCCAGAACACTTAATTGTGCTCATGTGGAACCTACCCCTACACCAAAAATCTGTTGTCCAAAATCAAGAAAGAGGTATGTTATAACTGTATCCTTTATTCTTACCTACTCAATCTGTATACTGAACAAAATATTTGAGAAGTGGGACTTTATGAAGAAGAATGGGACATCAATATTAGAGGAAAACTTATCAACAAGCTGCATTATGCAGATGACACAGTCTTACATGCTGAAATCCAGGAAGTCTTGAAATGCTTTCTACAGAAGATTAGACTACAACAATCTATATGGATTACATCACAACATTAAGAAATCCCAAATCCTTACCACTGGACCAATAAACAACATCATTGTAGATGGAGAAAAATGGAACTTGTCAACAATTTTGTTTCACATGCATCTACAATCAGCACCCTTGATCCCAGCAGTCAAGACATCAAAAGCTATATTTCATTGAGATAATCTGCCGTCAAGAACCTCTCTGAGATATTAAGGAACAAGGATATCAATTTAAAGACTAAGGTGCACGTGGTTTAAGTCCTGTTCTTTTCAATTACTTCCTAAGCATCTGAAAGTTTGACAGTGAATAAAGATGACAGAAGAAGAATCAATGCCTTTGAGTTGTGGAGATGAAGTAGAGTACTGCTGAAAGAACATATCTCGGAGAAAGTTCAACTAAGGTGTTCCTTAATGGCAAGAATGGTTAAACTTGGTCTCATATATTTTGGGTATGTCATCAGGAGTGGCCAGTCTTTGGAAAAAGGAGGAGAGTCAGTGAAAGAGGAAGACTGTCAACAATATGAATTGACACAGTTACTTAAGAGATGATGAGAATGGTACAGGATAGTGCAAAGCTCACATCAGTTATTCATAAGGTCCCTATAAGATGTAGTTGACTTGACAGCACTTAACAACACCAGCAAAAACATGTTTTCTTTAGTCTTCCTGGTTTATTGTCGTTAAAAATCCATAGTCATTACAAAGTCATCATCATTAAGAAAAAAAAAATCTGTGCCTCTGCAACAGATTTACCATGACTTACCATGGACTTTACCAAGGGTTTATCATGAGATGATATCTCCTCTATGACAGTGATTTGATCTTCATTTATCCTACCACTCTGCAGGTTGTCAATTTGCACTGAGTCTACCTGGGTGGTTCCTCTGAACACAGCTGAGCTCACACATTATTTTTGATTGGCTGTGGAACGGTTGGTGAGCTGCTGATTCTTGTGGTCTCTTACCTTCCAACAATCTAGGCTAGCCTTATTTTCACTGTGGTTGCAGATTTTCAAAGGTGAAAACACAAAAATCGCTTGAGGTCTAAGTTTAGAACTGATCTCTCAATACTTCTACCATATTCTGTTTGTTAAAGCCACGCAAAAGGCAAGTCAGATTCAAGAATGGAAAGAATTGCTAAGTCACCTTAAAAACTGGTGTAGAGACAGGTTGGATAGGATGCTGGCCATTCATGCAAATTATTTATCATGGTTATAATTAATGACTTGTCAATAGAAAAATATTGGATTAAAGGGGAAGAAGTATTAAAGGACGGGAACTTGAGCCTAACTGGAATTTTGTGGGATACCTTCAGAAAACTATTTTCTTTAACAGACATAGTTACATAACATCTAATTCTGTAACTATTAAAAGCTGCAGTCATATCTGACCCTCTGGGTGAAGAAGACCTATGGGCTGCTAGTGTATAGTGAGCAATCCATTGTTTGAAATTACTTTTTCCAATATATTCTATCACTCTGCTCTGATTTTTCCAGATCTGAGGAGAGATGGGTCACTTTCTCCAGTGAACTCACAAAAAATTACTTTAATGCTGCAATCTCCAGCTGTCAAGTTCATCACCAACCCTGAGTTCTTCACCGTGCTGCATGCCAATTATGTGAGTGCTACAGAACAGAGGGATTTGGCTTGGCCTCTTCATAAGCCAAAACTCACTTTATAATGCATATCATATGGTAGATCAAAGAGAAAAAATTTTATCCTGAGCAAGAAATAAAGAAAAGATAACTTGATCTATTAATTTTCTTATCTGTGACCCTCCTAAAAGACTTCGGAAAAAATAGGGTTTTTTTTTGTTATTGCTAAAATTTTAAAGGAACAAGATTATTAAATAAAATAATCTGACAAAGTTATTTTACTGGGAACCTTTTATAATCTATTTGTCCTAGACAAATAACTGAATTTCCGCTGAATATGGTTTTTCAAATATCAAGTTAATTTATTAATTAAGCATGATATTTGAGCTTAGGGAGGTCTGTTGGCCTAGTAGTAAGAAGCTGCACTACAATCCTAAAGGCACATAGTTCAAATCCACCGGCTGTTCCATGGGAAAAGGATATACAATCTCCTCTTATGTGATTAACTAACTGCTTCTGAAAACCTATGGGATGTGTTGGTTCTGATGGGTTGGTTCTGACTCGATGGTATACAACAACAAAATTTAAATGTTGGGTTTGTTTTGTTTTACTTAATGCTGTTTCTCTCTTTCTTTTCATTTTTTGGTAATTTCCAAGAAAGTAGTAGCATGCTATAGTGACACTCAGTAATTCTTCCATTCCTAAAGCATTTTCTGTGGATCAGGCAAAGGTCTAGCTAAATGCTAAAATCACAAAGACCAGAGTAGGGATTCCTCACTTTGTAGAATCACATCACTAGGAGCTTCTCACTATGTGGAGCAACCAACATGTAAAAAGACAATCTAACGTAACAGCACAGGGCCTGCTTAAACTGAGGTAGAGCAAAATTTTATGGAAATAGGAAGATGCCACATTCAGAGGCACTCTTGATCCAAAGATGGAGAGAAAGACAGCTAGATACCATCTTGAAGGTTAAAAGTGAGTGAGGAAGGACACAACTATGAGGACTCCTGTGTGGTTGGGCTGTGCCTGATAGCCAAGATGGAAGGGAGGAAGATTGAAGAAATAAATAGCTAGGTTCCTTTGAAGTTTTGAAAAGGCATTTGGCTATACTTCCATAGGCAACTGTGGGCCTGCCAGAATTAGAGACATTGGATCAGGTTTGTTTTTAGAAAGCAATTTCTCTGGCAGAAGTATGAAGGAGTATAAAGTATTCATTATTGAGAGATGGAAGACCAACCTAGAGAATGATTGGCAGCGGGGAGAGAAATTACTGAATTTGAGAGCTATTTCTGAGGTGAAATTCACAGGTGTGGGGGTTTTTTCCCCCATTAAGGATAAATTATCCAATAACCAAAGTAAACACAGGTGTGCTTGGGCTTGTAATGTGTAGTGAACTTTTTAATATAGGTTTCACCAGTGAAAAAACTATGGGAAACTGTTCACTATAGTCTAGTACATAAGCACAATTAAGCTCATGTTTACCTTACTTCTTGGATATTCCAGTGAGCAACTTTGAAAAAGCAAAGAGGTTTTGAATCTGTAGGAAAGTGCTGTGGGGTTGGGAGATGCAAACTATATGCCCAAGTAGAATCTTTTCAGTAGTGAAAAAAAGAACCACACAACAGAAATTATTCACCACAGATTAACAAATAAACACTAGTAAGCCCACACTTATCTTGCTTAAGAGGTAATGTGACAGTTTGTAGTCACTGCTATGCAAGAGTTCCTACTGTGGGTGCCTATGGGCAGGTGATTCTATTAATCAGGTGTTCTGGTGGCAGAGTTCATTATGATCTGGCTTACTTTGTGGAATATAAATAGGGTCCTTAGTCCATGCATCCATATGGGACCTAGGTCAGTGGAAACAACTAGGTGATCCCTCTTGGCCTAATATGATCTAGGCTTTCACCACACACACAGTGCATGGATTTGCATGCACGTGCATGCACACACACACACACACACACACACACACACACACGCACACACAATGTACCATAACAGTCATCTAGCACATTCAGCTCATTTTTTAAATTCCTTGATCTCTTCTCACTCCCTCCACCACAATATACACCCACTAGTTTTTGTAACAGAAACGAAGTATTTGAAATCCCACCTTAAATCCCTGAAGACCCTATATTGCTGGTCCCTATTTTAGACAATTAAGAGAACCAAGGGCAAATTTCTGCAGTGGTGTTGAGGAAGGATTTGTAAAGAGAGGCGGGCAGGTAATGATCTGAGAAGAAGAAGGGGACTCTACTGAGCAAGGTGACCAGTTATGGGCTACAGAGGAAGCAGGAAGAGCTGGGGTCCCAAACAAGCCATGTGTCTACATTACACCTTTATTTGCTAAGCAAGATTCTCATCTCTTCTTCTGAGGCCTCCATCTTGAAATAAATAATCACCATGTTGAAATCCTATTGTCTGTTTAATGTCTACTTGGCCTATGTTTTTCTAATTTGCCATTTCTGTCTTGAATCTTCTCAGAGTGCCTATCGAGTCTTTACCAGTAGCACCTGTTTAAAGCACATGATCCTGAAAGTCCGGCGGGATGCCCGCAACTTCGAGCGCTACCAGCACAACCGAGACCTGGTGAATTTCATCAACATGTTTGCAGACACTCGGTTAGAATTGCCTCGAGGTTGGGAAATCAAAACAGACCAACAAGGGAAGGTGAGTGAGACTGAAGTGTGGATTTTCATCGGTAAAGGAGAAGACAAGGGACAAAGTGGAGAAAGGAATGTCTGTGTGTCTCAGGGATGTACTGCTGGTTACTAGGAGGAAAATAAGAACACTAAAACCACACCACCAGGTTGATTCATGGCAACCCCAAGTATTACAGAGTAGAGCTACTCCTTATGTTCCGTTCATCAGAAGGGTAGGAGGCATTATCAATTAATAATGTTTATCAGCATCAGCACTGTTGTTGGGGGCACTGTCTTGTATATAGTCAGATTTCAGTAGCACACTCTCCACCAGCTGTGACAACAGGGACATCTCCAAAGTTTGACCAATATCCTAGGGCTGGAGTAAGAAGGACAAAAAACTCACCCAGGACAGGATTACTGCTCTACCTCTTTTTAAATGTAGTTTTGGAACAGGAAACCAAATTTTGTTTAGTGATGTTTCTATGAGTTTGCTTCCTTAATTACCTTTCAGAGAATAATCGTATTCATTAAATGAGAGTTACCTTATTAGATTCCTGTTGTGATTTCCCTAATAAGCCTTCAGTTCTCATTGAAACTGCTTGGAAAGCAAGGACAGGGTATCCTGATCCTGGGCAATGTTCAGGTCTGTGTGTTTTTCCAGCAGGGTCTTAACCAAACCTGCGTTCTCTGGTGGCATAGAGCAGAGGGAATTGCACTGTTAACCCAAAAGCTTAACTTCTCTGAATGTTCAAATCCACTAGCCACTTCTCTCTTTTTTTAAAAAATTTTATTATTTTTGTGTGAGTGTACCGTCAAATCAGATCTGACTGGTACAGGAGGAGACTGTCCCTCCTTTCCCAGCAGAGCATCTGGTGGATTCGAACCGTGCACCTCTGGGATTGTAGTTGCAGCTCCTTACCACTAGGCCACCAGAGCTCCCCTAGCCACTTCTCAAGAGAAAGATGAATAACCACTTTCTATGCAAT